GGGCCTATCCCCGGTGGGTGGCCGCCGGCGGCGGCGATGGATTTCTCCAGGTTCCTGTCGGATGACTTTGAGGTGAAAAGCTGGGTAAACGCGGCCTTCCGGGCCGTGCAGCAAGAAGCTCCCGGGAAGGTGGATGCCCACGCCGCTACCCTGGTGATGAAGTTGCAGCTCTTCATCCAGGAGGTCAATAACGCCGTGGAAGGTGAGGTGGGCCGCGGGGCTCCATCGCCAGGCGCCTGGTCCCTTTGCCGACTTGTAAACGTGTCGGGCTGGATCCGTCGTGGGTTTTGTTACTTCAGTTAACCTTTCCTCCAGCTGTAGTACTGGCTGGTGCGCTTCTGTAATCTCTGTGTCCTGCCAGATCGCTTTTAAACACTGAGAAACAGCTGCCCCTGCCAGGGAAGGTTTAGCTTGGATATCAGGAAAAATTTATTTCCCAAAAGGGTTGTCAAGCGTCGGAACAGGCTGCCCTGGGAAGTGGTGGAGTGACCACCCCCCGAGGTATTTAAAAGACGTGTAGAAGTGGTGCTTAGGGACGTGGTTTAGTGGTGGACTTGGCAGTGTTAGGTTAAGCGTTGGACTCGATTTTAAAGGTCTTTTTTCAACCTAATGGTTCTATGATAAAGTACATACTTAAACTTTAAAGATACAACTAAAGTTTTGTTGTGTGGTGTTTTCCAAGTGTTGAAGATTATATTCCCTCTTTGCTGCAAGGGTTCTCCGGCCCTCCTCACTGTGCTGCTTGGTGTTTCTGCAGAAACAAGTCATCAGGCTCTCCAGAACATGCCCAGAGTCCTCCGGGAAGTGGAAGTCTTGAAACAAGAGGCAACATTCCTGAAGGAGCAAATGATCCTTGTTAAAGAGGATATAAAGAAATTTGAAGAAGACACAGCTCAGTCAATGCAGGTAGGTTCTTGTCTTACTTAGTGTTTATCTGCAGCTTGTGAAATTGTGAAGTTTCCAGATTTGTTTGTATTAAACAATCTTGTGAACTCAAGACAGACAAAACGTCTTCTTTTAAAGTTAATAGCAGAAAAGTATGTATGACACAGACTAGTGCAATATACATTTCCTGAGGAACAGCTCATCATGTTTCAGAGTTGCTCTTACCTGATTGGGAACCCTAATTTCTACCCAGATTTCTGCCCTGTTAGCTGGGGTGCGTGGCATTTTTCAGATAAAGTGGATACTAAAAGTACAAATCCAGAATTCGAACTTACCTTTTGTTGTTTGACTTTGGAAATTGATTTAACATCTGTAGCTCTTTCAACCGACTCCTTCCTCCTTGTAATGGCACAATTTTTTCACACATTTTTTTAAAATTCCAGCCAAAAATAATTCCCATAATAAATTTCTGGCAGTCATCTTTTGTTTCAATGGGCAACATGATTCTTTTTTTTCCTTCAGGTCCTGGTAGAGATTGACCGAGTGAAATCTAGAATGCAGTTGGCTGCCGAGTCACTTCAGGAAGCAGACAAATGGAGCACGTTAAGTGCAGACATTGAAGAGACTCTTAAAACACAGGTAGGTAACCCATTATTCTTTTTGGTCTTTGCACCTTCAGCTTTCCAAGGAAACAGTGTTTAAAAGTAGTTTTTTGAAGTGACTTTAAAACATGAACCTGTTTGTAAAATGTCATTATGAAACAGGTATTAATGCTTTCTAAGGTCACGTTTGCTAACAAGGTTGCCTTTCCCTGGTGGCAGGATGTGTCTGTGATTTCAGCCAAACTAACAAGTATGCAGAGCAGCCTGGCTATGCTTGTAGATACGCCGGATTACTCCGAGAAGTGCGTGCATCTTGAGGCTCTGAAGAACCGACTAGAGGCCATGGCCAGCCCTCAGATTGTTGCTGCTTTTAACTCTCAGTCTGTAGGTCAGTAACTCTTGGTGTCATTTACTATCAGTGCAGAGTTTATTGTCTTTAAAAAGTAAAATGTAGCTTGGGTGGGGAGTTTATGTCCCGAAGACTCCTGGTGCTGGGTTGTGTGCTTTTTCTGGTGGAGCCAGATGCCATGAAATGTTACGTGCTCCGCAGCTGCCTGAGGTCCAGTGCATCTTTGATTTTCCTACAGTTTAGTGTACCTGTGGGCACTATAGGAATTAAGGAAAATGTGAGCTGGTTTTATAGGCCACGTAGATGGGTGAAATGGAGGTGCTGAGGCAGGGCTGCCCTGCTGTCATAGTTTAGTTGTGCCATGGATGCTCTCCAAGTGGGAAGTGCTGCTCAAGTAAGCACAAGACCTATGGTTTTGCGTTATCATAGGGCTACTGGGCATTTCTCCTACAGCTTGGTGTTGTAATCATGAAGAAAATCTGTTTGGAAACGTTCTGACTCCTTACTACTTGTAAAAGCTGTTTTATAAACTCTCCTTTAGAAGATTGGATTTTTTGGACTATTCTTTGTGCTCCTCCTTCCCTCTCCTACTGTCACAGTGCTTCTGAAAAATACTTGTTCTGGTTGTTGCTTCTCATCTGTGTGCACTTTCAGGTCCCGGTGAGAATCTGGGTCTGCGGTGCTTTTGTTGCACAGCGCTCTGTGGAATTCTTGTCTACGTAAAGGCAAGGCACCACAGTGCATGACTGCAGACAGCTGGAGGGAGTGGAGGAGGGAAGAAGCTCTATGTGCTGTGCTTCTAAAAGTGTGCTTAATCCTTTGCATAGATGTGTCTCTTCTTTGTCCCATTCCTCATCTGGCTTTTCTTCTTTGCACAGCCTCCTTTTTTCTTGAATTGTGCTCATCACCTTCATTGTAGGTCCCATGCCTTTTTTCTAGTGTTGCAGCGTGTTATCCTTTACGGGCAAATTCAAGACAAAGCATGATGTTTTGGAATATTTTCTCTGCTTAGGATGCAAGTAAATTGAATATTCCTATGCTCTGTGAGTTCTCCACCAAAGAAGACATATAGGCGCAAGAAAGCTTCTGGCAGCAGGTCTACTGGTACGAGGTCCTTTGCTTGGGCATAGTGTTCAGAATAATTCAGTTTAAGCACTGTTTGCCTTTTCTTTCAAAATCTGTTCTGGGCATGTGGAGACACGGGCTTTTTTCCCATTGAAGAGAATTTTTCTGTTTACTTTGAAGTCATGTGTTTTCCTGAAGTCCAGCTCCCGTAAATGTAATACGAGTCCATAAACATATCCCCAGAGAGTCTGTATTCTGTGACTTCCACAGATGAAGAACACTTCAAGTTATGTAGTGTTCTAGTTTATCTGCCTTCTGGGTCCTGTTTGAAAAACAAGGTCTCATTACTAATTTCTCTAAGCCCAGATGTATTTTGTGGATAGAACTATAGTTGTCCACCTTACAGTACAAAACAGACTTTTGAGGAACTTGGATTTCAAAGCGTGCAAGAGCTAGCTGTGCCACTAGTCAGTCTAGAGGCAGCTACCTTAGGTATCGTTTTGAGGAGTTCTGAAAGTAAAGCTGAGGACTTTGTGATGCATGTTCTAGTTTTGTAGATAGCGGCTTGTTTCTGGAATATAATTATTCCCTTCTAGGAATTGCTCTGATTTTATCTGTCTTTAATACTAGATACATTTGCTGGTTAAGAAGTTAAATTCTTTCCTTGTGTCTCCTACCTGTTCTTCCTCGAGTGTGGGTTTTTGGCCAGTTCTGCTTGTATATCAGAAGAGAAGCAAAAAGGTGAAAGTGTGTCTTTCTGTACAGGCCATTGTGCGTACTTCCTTAAAAGAAGAATTCTCTTGCTCAGTTAGACTGATGTCTCACCCTCAGCTTTGAGACTGTTAACTGTCTATTATTTTGTTTTGTTTAGATCAGGCAAAAACGTTTGTTAAAGTCTTCACTGAAATTGATCGGATGCCCCAGCTTCTTGCTTATTATTATAAATGTCACAAGGTAAGTATTTGATAATAATTTAATATGGAGGAATAAAAATTTGAATTCTTGCTTGGCATGGACTGTAGGGGGAGCTGCTACATCATGTATTTTACCTTTCCTGTTCAGAGGATGGAACCTGTTCTTTTCCAAGTTTCATTCTCTGACTTCTCTTTCTGGCTCTTAACAGTTTTGGTTACCCCTTGTGTCTCAAGAGTAATTCTGCTTTCAGGGCTTTGTGTTCGTTCCTGCAACAGACATAGGATATGTGCGTTCTGCTTGATTTCTCTGTGCCTTATAGTTTTGCTTTGCTTTTCTTGGATGTGGCTATGTCAGCAATGACTTTATTGCTGCAACTTGCCAGCTGCTGACTTCTGTAAACTCTTTTCAGGTAAGATTAAAAGTTGGAATTCCAGACAGTTCTGTAGCCATAACCTGATCCTCAAATTTCTCTCATGACTGTGACTTTTGAGGATTAAGTTCAAGGCTAGGGCTTGCCAAGTATTTCAACTATGATGTGGGGGTATCAGTTACAGTCTCATTTTATGAGTAAAATACCAATGTTAATTAAATCTTTGAATGAACTAAGAAGCCTCTAGCTTCATGCTGAAAGTCTTTTCCTTCTGTGGTGCTGAATTATAGCAAAACGTTACGTTGAAATCTGGAGAGAGGAGCGAGGGTGGGCATTGTGTTTTTGTAAAAGTGCTTTGCATGGGAAGTTTGTGGTTTGAAATAACAAAAGCTAGATCTGTGGACTGTCAGTTCTCCTCTTAGAACGGTTCTTATTTCCTCTGCAGGTGCAGCTGGTGGCAGTGTGGCAGGATCTTTGCCAAAGTGACTTAAGCTTAAATCGCCAGTTGACTGAACTGTATGACACACTCCTTGGGACCTGGCACTCACAACTTCAGTGGGCAACACAGGTGCAGTGACAGTTTAGTATTGGTGCAGCGTACGGGAGAGAATGAGATTGAGCACGCTCTCATTAAGCTCAGAATAGTTCACCGGTGCTCACTGTTTGGGTTATACTCTGTGCCTTATCAATGCAGGACAGGGTTTGCAACCTCCCTCCTGTTTCTTGTCCAGCTCTTGCAGACAAGATTTGATTTCTGCTGTTCTACCGACAGCAAGGTTGCTGTGTTATTGACATTAAAGCTGCTCTATCACTTTCATCTGTATCTTAAGTTAAATCTAATTTGTTGGTGTTGCAAATGTGTTCTGTTGCAAGACATTTGAAATGCCTGGATTGCTTTATCACTTGGCCTGGAGGAAACCCTCAAGGTCATATTGGACTGATTCATGTCACTCTCTGTAAGATATCTGTGGGCTTCTGCTATCACCCCTTGGAGTCTGTGTACTTGTTTTTCCTGTGAAGAATAATTTAGGATCCAAAAAAGTTATTGTCCTTTAGTGAAATGAAGAAATAAGTTCATATTGTTGAGCCTGTAAGAGTTTTTCATCCATGAAGGGTAAGAGATTCTTATCTTCATGTTACGAAGCCTGGTGCAAGTGCTAGGCCTGTACTGCAAAGGAGCTCAGTGTTTCCTTGAAATGTATTTTTTCTGCCTAATGATTCGATGTGAATTACAGGTCAGATGTCAGCTTACATTCTAGAGATATTCTTTGAATTGGAGATTGTGAAAGAGAAATGGCACATGGGATAAAGCTCGTGTCACTCAATCTCCTGTGTTGGTTCTGCTTTCTGAAGAATTCTTGGACCTTTTTCATGCTATTCAGTATCCATGGTGACCTTGCTGCAGGAGACTTGTGGTGATCCCACCTTTCAAAGCGAATGAGCAAGAATAGCTGACAAGTCACAATAAAAGGCTGTAACACACTTTATGCTAGTGGAGTTGATCAAGTTCTCAGCTGATTAGTCTTTCTAGCCTTTCCAGTACTGGCTTCTGCCTAGCTGACCAGTAATTTGGCTTGTGATGTAGTACTATTTCTTCCTATTTTACCGATATATGTGTTTTTTCCCAACACACCTGCGTAAACAGAGTGCTCTATTTTCAAATGCCCTTTTCTGCCAGGTGTTTTTTTGAATGACTCTAGTGCCTGTATTCTGCTGAATTCAGTTTTTGATGTGTACCTGTCTTCTAGATTCTTGGTTGCTGTATTCAAAGCGCAGTTTTAACAGTAATAAAATATGTATTGACCTAGATTTCTGTAATCAGGCTGTCCTGCCTGCTAGGTCAGCGAGGTTCCTGCAGTCTTAGCAGACCTCTTTTAGTTTTTTTACCGCTTGTGAGGTTTTTCAAATTTGTTTCTGTTCCCTTTTGGTTGGGAGCTCATGTCATCTGAGGAATCTGTGATCTGGTTAGTGCACAAAATGTCATCTTCTTGATCTCTATATCACCGTCTTTCACCAATAGGTAATTTTGTATTAATTATTTAATAGAAAGAAGCACACACCCAGCACAGTTTTCTGTGAAAGAGTCCAGGTCGGGCTGCTGCTGCTTTCTCTCCCAACTCTTTGCTCCCTGGTTATGGCAGCCTGCCTCTCTGCTGACACCATTTGCAAACCCATCTGTTCTGCCTCTTCTGTCCCTCTGTTTCTGGAGCCCAGGTCTCTGTGGCAAGGGCATAAGGGATACTACAGTGGGCACGATTGCCCCTGGGAAGTGGTGCTGCTTGTGTAAAGGCTGCTTCTGCCAGCAGAGCAGCAGCATGTGTTCAGGAGGGCTGAAGGTATCAGCTCTGTTTGGAGTTAGACAGTTTATCAGAATCTTTGCTGAGATGGTCATATGTGGTTTGTACATTATGGGGCTCTCTCTGGAAGCTGACTGCTGCCTGTCATCTTCCTCTGAGATAAACTGCTTTTGCTAATACCTTTTCTGTTACCACAGGTTTTCAAGAACCCCCATGAAATTGTGACTGTATTGTTGATTCAAACTCTGGGAGCATTGGTGCCTTCCATCCCTGTCTGCCTCAGCACTGCCATGGAAAGAACAGGCCAAGAAACCAAGCTGAATAAGCTGCTGGAGCTCTATGATGCCACCATCCACTTCGCAAAAGGGCTGGAAGTAGCAATGCTGCCAAACCTGAGTAAGGCTTTTGCACTGAATTTTTGTCATTCTGTTCTGTCAACTCCTTTGCAAAGTTCCATTGTGGGATTTTGTTTAGTTTTACATGGAAGGAGGGATTATCTCTTCTACAGTATTGACCAGTTACCTGGCATTTGCACCTTTGTGTGTGTGTATATATCTTACACTAAAGATATTGACACAATACTGAATGAGTTTACTGAAGCAGAGCTGTTCTGAGCTTGCTTGCTGTCTAGAGTAAATAATATTTAGCACTTTTCCTTTTACAAGCATTAGCATTTCTTCTGTCTAATGGATGAGGAAATGTCTGTAGGGAAGCTATCTGTAAAACCCATTGCGAAAGATTGCTAAAGCATAAAAGTCAAGGAGTTTCCTGAAATTAAGTCACACCTTACTAAACCAGAGAAAACCTGCTTGAAAGCTGTGTCTGTTGGATTCTTAATTTTTATTTTGTAGTTTTTCTGTTACTAATGGCTTATGTTTTAATCAAGTGAAAATGCAGGGTCAAATATTGTTTCTGAACTGTTGGTAGTTTATTCCTCAGTAGCATCCTCAGTGTTTGATTCAAAATATAACCTGTGCTTTTGTTATCCTTTGATGTTTGTCATCTCATTTTGGTCATGACTTGATGAATAGTTCCCACAAACCACAAAGTAGTGCGGTGCTGTATTTACATAGGTTTATGCCTGACTTGAACTGTTGTCTATTTATAGTCCTTTATTAATCTGGTAGGGCCTCTTCAAAGACTGGATATGGGAAAATCCTAAATTAAAGCTAATGGAACATTCCTAATGCTGTGTTTCCTGTGTTTGGTTCCTCATAACATTGTCTTGAGCTATTTAAACCCAGATTCTTACTTGATCATTTAAATTATGATTATTGGGCAATTTCAGGGAGTATGACTGTCATTGTGTCTGTTTTTGTTGTCTTTGTGATTGCATACTCCTGTCAGTCATTTTCTATCGTTGGCTTAGCTTAATTTGTGTTTCGTAATAGCAGTGATTAAAAAGAACTTGGAAAAACGGTGTCAAATTCTAGAAGATTATGGAATAGGAAGACAGCTGCTGAACTGTTATCTGACTGCATGTAAAAAAAAATTTGTGATTTCCCTCTCTTTTGCTGTGGGGTAAGATGTTTGGAAAGAGAAATATCTCAAGAATGGAAGGGCCAGGTGACTCAGCAGAACAGGGTCAAACCAGTTCCTACATATGTGTATGTAAGGGAAGGGTTCAGTTATGATTCATAAGATGATTCAGGTTGGAAGGGACCTTGAGAGATGGTCTAGTCCAACCTCCTGCTCCAAGGAAGGTCTGCTATGAGTTCAGACCATCTTGCTCAGGGTATTGTCTGGTCTGATCTTGAAAATGTCCAAGCATGGAGATAGCACAGGCTTTGGACTACCTGCACCGTTTCTTGTCTGTCCTTAGGGCATAAAAGCTTTTTCTTAAATCTGGGATTCAAAGTAATTCTGGTTTGCTGCTAGTTTGAGTTTGGCAGAACTTTGCGATAACAGCTAGTGTCCAGTTCTGATTTGAAAAATAATCATTCAGACCTTTTTTTTTGTTTGGATTTGCAGCTCCCTGCTCAGCCCAGTGGCGCTGAGATGCTGAGTTCATAGTTTGTGTTCCGCTCTGGTTGATGAATACCATGAAACAGTAGTGCTAAGTGAATGGAGTTAGTGTCAATTATTTTAAGTATGAACCAGGCTTTCTGATAAATGAAGATTGCCCCTGTTTTAAATTGTGGGAGTAGTGTGTTTCACTTCTCAAATGGTTTCAGTACCTTCCGTCTACTGTAGGCTGGAATGTTTAATAGATTTTTGTCACCCAGGCTGTTTTGGAGCAGTGAGTGATAATTTTCTTGAGGCACTTGTTGAGGTGAAACATCTTGGTTTTAGGAAGCAGGTACAGATAATAACCTTGTTTTTAAAAAAATGAAAAAAAAAATAATCTGTGCACTTGGGACTAAAAGCTGTTGGGCAACATTCCAAGCCTGTGTAGGCAGCATGCTCTAATTGAAGAACTACTTCATGTTGCTTGAAATAAGGTTTTTAGTAGCATGTTCGTCTCTTTGTAGACTAAACATCTGATTCTTTGTAGAGGAGCAGAATCTGGTGAAAGTGATGGAACTGGTGGAAGCAGTGTATGGTCCGTACAAGCCCTATCAACTTGAGTATGGAGACCTGGAAGAAGAAAACCTCCTCATTCAGATCAGTGCAGTGCCTTTGGTAATGTAGCAGTCTTTGTTCAGCTACACAGGGAGAGGCTTGAAGCATCTACTAAATACAAGGGTCTTTGCCATAGTTACTACTCTCTTTCCTCCTCTAGTGGGGTTTTTTTCTGGTGTTTCCTATTTGCGGTATATTTTGATACTGTTAAGTAAATTTTGTTTAAGAAGTAAAGTTAATTTCAGTGGCACTGTAAGGTTGGAGGTAACGCCTTTCTTCTGCTCCTTCTTCCAGTAACTGGCACTGTGTGGATCTGCTGGAGAAAGACTTTCCCAAAATATTACTATCGACCAAGAACCTGCTTCAGGTTACATAGAATGTATTAAGAGCAAAACTAGGGGGAGGAAAGTCCTTTTTCTGGAAGATTCTGTTGTCGGCAGAACTGTTTTTCCTTGAAGACTTGGTAAACATGAGATTTGTCAGCCTGACTGTTATTAACAGTCACTGTGCAGGAGGGTGGAAGCAACCAGCATTGTTCTCCCTTAAATGTGTCACAGGATTGGAGGATGCTGAGAGAACGATGTGTTACACAAGGTGTCTTTAATGCCTGGACATTCACTAAAAGAAGAGTCAGGCTCAACTTTGTTGTTGTTGTTGTTATTTAGGAGCATTGGGAAGTAATTGACTGTGTCCAGGAACTGAACCATTCAGTCAACAAACTCTTCATTCTGGCTTCTGGAGCCATCGACAACTGCATTAAACTCACTGATGGACTGGGAGTGTGTGGGCTCCTTAAGGCCCTGAAAGCTCTGTTCACAAAGTAAGGTGCTTTTAGTTACACTGCTGCATTTATCCTAAGGGAGTAGCAAGTATTTGGTTTGCAGTCTAGGAATTTGTACTTTATGAAAAACAGCTGAGAGCGGAAAGTATCTATAACCGTAATATGAATCATCTGATATCCTCTCCTACCACTTCATTCAGGCAGTGACTCTTTCTTAGGGGAAAAATGAAGCTTTTTATGGCTAAATGGCAGACTTTTCTCAGCTGTTTTCTGTTCTGGTTGGACTGAATTTTCATTTTTCATAATACTTTTGGAGTGGAAAATGTTTCCCAAAACAGAATAAGACAAAGACAAACTAGGCTGATGAAAGTAGAACTCAGTGGGAAAATACATACTTACTGGGACAAGTGACCTCACGTTCAGAATCTACCTGTAAGTGCAAGATTACATCTCTCATATGACGAAAGGCTTAGGGACTTGGGTCTCTTTAGTCTAGAGAAAAGAAGATTGAGGGGGGATCTTATTAATACTTACAAATACTTAAAGGGAGGATGCCAGGGGGATGGGAGCAGTCTTTTTTCAGTGGTGCCCAGTGATAGGACGAGGGGTAATGGGCATAAACTTGAACATAGGAAGTTCCATCTTAACATGAGAAGGAACTTCTTTACTTTGAGGGTAGTGGAGCACTGGAACAGGCTGCCCAGAGAGGTGGTGGAGTCTCCCACTCTGGAGACATTCAAAACACGCCTGGACGCTGTCCTGTGCAACCTGTTGTAGGTGACCCTGCTCTGGCAGGGGGGTTGGACTAGATGATCTCCAGAGGTCCCTTCCAACCCTGACCATTCTGTGATTCTGTGATACCATAGCGAGTGAGGTTCACTGTAAGTTCTTGCCTTAAAGTATCACTGACACTGACAACCGGATGACCATGAGCGAGCAATGTGCGCTCGTGGCCAAGAAGGCGAATGACATTCTGGAGTGCATGAAGAAGAGCATGGCCAGCAGGGCAAGGGAAGTCATTCTCCCCCTCTACTCTGCCCTGGTGAGGCCGCATCTGGAGTACTGGGTCCAGTTCTGGGCTCCCCAGTTCAAGAAGGACAGGGAACTACTGGAGAGGGTCCCGCAAAGGGTTACAAAGATGATTATGGGATTGGAACATCTCTCTTATGAGGAAAGGCTGAGGGACTTGGGTCTTTCTAATCTAGAGAAAAGAAGACTGAGGGGGGATCTTATTAATGCTTATAAATACTGAAAGGGAGGGTGCCAGGGGGATGGGACCAGTCTTTTTTCAGTGGTGCCCAGTGATAGGACAAGAGGTAACGGGCACAAGCTTGAACATAGAAAGTTCCATCTTAACATGAGGAGGAACTTCTTTCCTGTGAGGGTGGCAGAGCAGTGGCACAGGCTGCCCGGAGAGGTGGGGGAGTCTCCTTCTCTGGAGCCATTCCAAACCCGCCTGGACGCTGTCCTGTGCAACTGCTGTAGGTGCCCCTGCTCTGGCAGAGGGGTTGGACTAGATGATCTCCAGAGGTCCCTTCCAACTCTGACCATTCTGGGATTCTGTGACAGTCCACTTAGATAGTATTCCAGTACTGATTACCTCCTTATCCTTTACTGATATCGAAAGAGCTGCTTACAAGCTATAAATTAAACTGTTACCTTGCTGCCCTGTGCGTAAGAAGGAAGAGGAAAGCACACTTCTCTGATCTCACCTTCTTTATAGGCAATTACATAGCAGTGTGCATGCCTCCAGCTTACGGGCATTATTTTTTTTTAAAAAAAGGGGTGGGTGAAAAACAAAATGTTCTCCTTTTTATCCATGTTCTCATCTGGGGAGTAGCTGAGAAAACAAATTCGTGAGATTGTTGTCACTGTGTTCCTGGAGTAAGAGCCAAATGATGTTATAGTAGCAGTAGCCTTATAAACTTTTTCTAGTCTTCCCTAGGAGACATGATTAGTGTAGTGATAACAAAAATGTCTTACTCCTACCTTCTTATGGGAGTGGAGAGTTCCTAGTAACCCGTATGCAGCAAATTGAAGTAGCCACCCAGTATCTGTCACTCTAAGTTTCTCCCTGTCTTCTAGTGTAGGCTTGAGTGGGCTGTACCTGATCAGTTCTTCACATCCATGTGTTTGGACTGGAACAACAGTGTCTCTTCTGAACTCCTTTTAATATTTCTGCTTCTTATTTGGCCCTTGTAGAGCACTGAGTGAGCAAATCACGGGACGTGCAGTTATGCTGCTCTCCAACCTATTCTCTTATGCTCGTGCTTATCTCTTCTCCATTTCTCATTTCAGGTATACATCTGACTTTACAAATACATTGCAGTCTATACGAAAGAAATGTAAACTGGATGATGTGCTATCAGATTCCCTTTTCCAGGAGGACTGGACTGCATTCCAAAACTCTGTCCGGTAAAGGCAATTTTTTTGCTTAGCTCAGAACTGATTTTTATTTCAAAGTTGGAAGGGAATTACTTGGGGTCAGTTTACACGAGTTCTTAGTGCAGAATGCAGGGCTGTGCCCACTTAGCTGCAGTGCTGCTGGGACCATTAGTGTTAGTGACTGGGTTTCAGGTTGCTGCTGGCACAGAAAGTGCTGTGAGGCTCCCCACCCTGTCTGGAGCAAGACTGCATGTCATATCACTTGAAGTATCAGAAGCTCTTAGAATTTTTCCCAATGACACTGAGCTGGCCTTAGCCATGATGACAAGAAGTAGCATGTGAATGAGACTGTTGGGCAAAAAAAAAAATCAGTATGTTATCAAATGGATACAGAGTTGATAGCCAAATTAACTCTTGACAGATGTGTCCCCTGTGGGCTGGTTATTGCATTTATAATTACTTTGCACATGTCTGAGATGGGTTGTCCACGGTCCAGGGGGGAGCGGGGGGAGTGTCTGACATTATCTGCCTCAAATCTCACAACATGTGTTTTTGTCTTGTTCTTTCCCAGGATAATTACTACTTGTGGTGAGCTCCTTCGTCAGTGTGGAGACTTTGAGCAGCAGCTGGCCAACAGGTAAGTGTTGCTGAACTTAATTCATGAGCTGTCAACATAGGTACCAGGTTGAAAGAAAACAAACCCCAAGGTGCTTTCGTTGCATAGACCATGAAGGGAAAGCAGAGCCACTGTGATTTCCCCCCACTGCCCTTCCCCGTCTTCTGAAGTGTCACAGATGGGTCACAGACTGTTCCACGCAGTCGTGTGCCCTGAGACAGTCATAAGAATCCTTTTTCTTGGATAGTTGGCTGGGCATCAAATGGGGTCAGGAGGGAATTTTCCACCAGATCAAATTGGCAAGATTCTCACCCCCCGTGTGACATGGGGCATGAATCATTTGCTGAAATGAATCTAGGTGTGCCTTAACTGATCGATTCCTTGTAACTTGAGGAGCGTCAAGCACAGGCAGCGCGTAGATCTTTTGTTGCTTGTAAGCAGTGCACTGTTCAGCCTATTGTACGATGAAATGCTTTAGTCTGACTTGAGTGCCTGTGCTTTGTGTAGGACACAGTCACCTGCAGTGCACAGGAGGCTGGGTTTGTTCCATATTTGCTTGACGTTCTGAGAGCACAATCCTCTCTTTTTCGTCTCACTATTTTTGCAGTTTTTGAGTTGCACAGTAGACGTGAGAGTAGGCTGTAATTAGTGTCTCCTACCAATGAATACTCTAAAAATCTTTCCCTTGAAGTAACATAAAGGTAGTGTTGGTCCTTGGACCAACATGAGAGCAACAGTACTGATTTCGGAGGATTTTGCTGGTGACTTTTGTGTACTTATTTTCAGGATTTTATCAACTGCTGGGAAGTATCTCTCGGACTCCTACAGCCCTTGTAGTTTTTCTGGCTTTCAGGATACCAGTTCTGTAGAAAAGAAGAGCTCTGTAAAGAATCCCTGGCAGGAATACAATTATCTTTTGAAGGAGAATCCGTCTGAGTATGCCAGCCTTATGGAAACGCTTTACACTCTAAAGGTAGCTTTGGTGCCTGGGAAAGCCTGCCTCTATCACAGGATGCTGTTTGGCCCACATTTGGTAGATGAGATCTGGATTCCCCCTACAGCCTGATTACTTTTCATCCTGAGCTGCAGCCTTTTGATGGGCTATGTTCCAAGTCTTCCACAGAGACACCGATTGATCTGCTGAGAGATGAAATGTCCAAACCCAGGAAGTCTGGGCTCATTCCATCTCTCCCCAGATCCTGGCTGTGTTTTGTGAACATGCCCTTATCAGTTCAGGCAAGGGAGATTTTGTTGCAGAAAGCATTGGGAAGATTGTGTTGGATCCATCTCAAATTCTGGACCCCACATACTGGCTTCTAAAGACTTTTTTTTGCCACTTAACGCTCTGCTGCCCTATCCATTTTGAAATATAATTCTACAAGATCATTCATGCATGCATCTGTGAACAGGGTAGAATGACTCTAGTTATCTTCTTGTGGATCTAAGCTATATTTGCCATCATTGGTCACATGTAGTAGTGAAGTCAAGGTTATGAGTTCTGTCTCTTATTTCCTCAGAATGTTTTGATTTCTTTTGTGCTTATTTTACCTGCAACTTGTACAGCTCTGCTTTCAGTGTTAAACGTTTGACTTTAAACCTTTGCTAAATAGTCAAGTTCCATAGGTACCCTTCATGTAAAACTTCTGCTTAATTCCATGCTGGGAATCAGTTAGTTGTGCCCTTTGAGTAAAAGGCAGTTTTGCCATCTTCTCTGCAAGTTTCTTAGTATCTAGCCTCTACAGGTGCCTGGTGTGGCCAGAATGCGATGCTGAATCTTTGTTGTGTGTTTCAGGGAGCAGTGTGCGGTTTCCATCTGGAATAACTGGTTGGAATAGGGCATCCCAAAGGAAACAAGCTGTGCCATTGCAGAGGATAGCTCTTTTGTATTAGGGTGGCCTAATAAAAACCTTTTTAAGAATGTTAACGTAGCTTCTCTGTGATCAGTTTAATGATTTCTGTGTGTAAATATTTTTCTGTGTCTCTGTGTTAGGAAAAAGGTACAAGTAACCACAACCTGTTGTCTTCATCTCGATCTGCCCTAAGCCGCCTCAACCAGCTGGCACACCACTTGGCTTTTGATTCTGTTTTTCTTCGCATCAAACAACAACTCTTACTCGTTTCAAAGATGGAGGTGAGTAATGGGTACATCAATCTGATCTGAACTGGCAAGGTTTACCCCTGGGATCCCTTAGGGTGGAGTACAAAGTTGCTCACCTTTCTCCTTTTCAGAATGTTTCCCTCTGGTATCACATTTCTTCCATGACCTACAGTCAGTGGAAGAGTTTACCTCCCTTCAACCACAGCATTTACAACAGACAGCTATGTTCGCAAGCTCTGATGTTTGTTTGAGATGTTGCTTTTCTAACCTGTGTGAGCACACATTTCCCGCAGGGACCTGTGT